TTCAAACTGGTTCCTAACTCGATCTTTGAATACTGACCAAGCACTTCCTGCAGCCTTTTCTGAGCATGAGATACCGATCTCAAAACTACTCCCTTTTCAGGCATTTCTGAAAACCCTGCACATTGACGTGCGCAAAAGATGGGAAGGCTATTACTTGTATAATACTGTGCTTAAGTGAGCTATATATAAGCTATCGACTTTCCATTGTTATGGCGTCTTTTGCACTCGCAGCTGTGCAGTATTTCAAACTCTGCCAGAAGAGGGCGTATTTTCGGGATGGGTGTGTAGACCTTTCCAAAAAAAAGGAGCTCGTGGCCGGTGCCATCTCCAGTGTTCGTGCGTATAGCGCATGCTTTGCTCGCTTTCCGAAGCGACGAAGCACGTGCTGGCCTGTGATTTTGTAAACAGTAAAAAGGTCTCTAGCTGGATTGCTTGCCCTCTATATGTTTGTGTTTGTTTTGCTCCGCACACACGAGTGTTTTAGACATGATACTTGCTTTCGGCGCCCAGTAAGATCTCACAGCTATGTCCGAGAGTGGCTGACACGGGATCGAGAGGAAACAGATGTACCAACACAGAAACAGGTACGTCGAGTGCGCAGTCGGGGTAGTTGATTGAATCCCCTTAAGCTGTGGTCGTGTATACACCGCCCAGACTGGCCGATGTGTCAGTGACCGGGCACGTGAGCACGCACTGTCACTGCGGTCTACTTTGACTTCTTATCGTAAACGACGCTCTATGCAAATGCCCCGGTCTGAGCGACTCACAACCAGTTACATAGCATGAATTGTTAAAGTTAAGTCCGTGATAATATTATGACAGCTCTCACATGGAAAATGTCAGTCACCGAACAAAGTTCCGGTAATATGCCGCCACAACGAACGGCGTTCCTCGAATGCTCAGTTAAAGACGATGAAAGAGGACATAAAACAAAAAGTAGAAAATTGCTAAGCAGGTGGCATGCTGGCCTTGCTACAGTCTGACAAACCCACAAACAAAATATACAAAGAAACATTTTTTTTTTCTCCCCCCAAGGCGCGGCGCTTCGGCGAATCATACCCAGTAATGTTGCCTCAGACAACCCATGTGTTTCTTCTCTTTTTTTTTTTTTTTGTAAGATTGTTGAACACGTTAAAAAAACGAGTGCTTTTTTTTTTTTTTTTTTTTTTTTGAAAGGGACTACAGGCGACCCTACAAACTATACTGCCGATGTAGCGCGGTCCCAGCTTCATTCAGCTAGAGCACTATATAGCTCCTTCGGAGCAGAGTAGCGCAATCTAGAACGCTGTCTCTCGGCGACTAGCGGCGAACGCCCGGAGGTTCCAACTGCGGTCAGAAATGCATGGAGAACGTGAGAAAATCGTTGTTTCTTCAGTATTGTGGGGATGTACGGAATGGCAATCGTTTTTGACACAATAATGGAACATTTTAGAATAATATGCGCTAAGTTGTGAGCTACGCAAGGACGTAACTTTTTTTTTAAAAAATTGCCTGAGCGGCATCATGCAGCAGACGACACGGCGACGTCACACCATTCACGTGACCCGCTCCGGCCAACCCGAAAAGCCCATCTCCGCTGCGAGCAAAAATCGTCTGCTTCAAACGCCATTGCCTTGGAAATCGCCTTCTCAAAATTGGCACACGCGTCCGATATTATTAAAACTTTGATAAAGTGTTTAGCGCTTTACTAACTTCACGACAGGCTAGTTTTGAAAAATGTGAACTCGCCGTTAGTTTTTTAATCAGCCGTGT